CCATTTAGGAGCTGAAACAGAGAAATGAGCTCCATTGTGTTAATAGTTGGAAATCAAACCAGAAGAAGGAGGGAGGAAGAAACATTCAAAGAAAACAATTTAGCATGTGGAAAAAGGCGTCCAAAATACCTTCAAACATCCAAATATATTCAGGAAACAAGCCATTTAGGAGCTGAAACAGAGAAATGAGCTCCATTGTGTTAATAGTTGGAAATCAAACCACACACCTATTACTCCCCCGAATTCAGTTAAACGTCCAAACAGATTCACCAACAAAACATTTCTAAAAAGTCTAACTGCTAAATTATCAACAACAACGTAAAAGGAAAAAAGTCAATTAACAAGAAGACATGGATGTAAAACATACTAGAATAACAATCCAATTTCTTCTACCTTCAATATAGAGTTACAGTAAACCTGAACCTAAATCACATTAGGAGCTGAAACGAACCTCCACCGTTGAATTTGATAGCACTCTGCAGCTTAACAACGGTGACAGAGTCACCTTTGGCGATGGCATCGTGGAGCTGCTCGAGAGCCTTGTTGTAGTTGGTGATGTAAGTCTGATGGTGCTTTTGGTGATGGAGTTGCATAATCTCTCCACTGATAGCCGGTTCAAGTGCGCCATAATCGTACAGCAGATCAGGGAGCGAGAAGGTATGCAACGAGCGCGATTGAGCCACCCCTGAGGCTAAAAGCCTGCCCTCAGCCGCTTTCAGCCCTAGGGCTAGGGTTTTGCCAGTCGCCAGTGAACGGAAAGCCATGGTCTGGAATGTATCTTTCTACTGAACAAAATGGTGGTGATGGTAGCAGAGGGATGTAAAGAGTAAATACGAAACTCAAGTATTATGGGTCGGGCTGTAGTGTAGCCCAAGATAAATTTTTACATTGGTTGGGCTTACCTTGCCAGCCTAAGACACCAACAAGAAAGAAGTCGGGTTTTGTTATTTGGGTTTTTAGTCCAGTTGTTGACAGCCCACAATATCCGTAACTTTTTTTTGTCAACGCACATGCTCAATTGCTTACACACACAAATTAAAAGAGCCGCATGGTTAATTAAAAAAAAAAAAAAAGGGTTTAGGCCGCTAATATTCCCCTTCTATTTTTTTTTTAATGAAAGGAAAACCAATATTCTGTTTGAATGAAATAATAATGCTTTCTAGAGCAATATTAAAGGAAACCAATTTTCAATAATAATGAAAACACAATTTTTTTCATTTGCATAATTATAATTATCAGATTATATTAAAATTTAACATGTATAGTTTACATAAATATAATGTTACATTTGATGGTTTGTTAAAAAAAAAAAAGAGAAATAAACTATTATCAACTTGTGTAAATTATACTAGTATAAATTAATTGTTAGTTTTTTTTAGTATTCTTGGATATGAAAATTTTCTATTTAATAAGTATAATCCTTAATCTAATAGTATAATGGAAGTTTTAGGTTCTAATTACTTACCATTAAACCTTGTAAATCAAGGAAAAAATGCCTTTCACAAATTTAAAAAGACAAGAAAGGAATGGAATGCCCTCGATATGTTGTTCACAAACAATAATTTAAGAAGAATTTAAAATCTTAAGTATACATATAACTTAAGAAATCTTAAGTATAGTACATAAGTAGTATACATATATGTAAAAAAGGTAGAAAAATCAACTAGGCCTAGCGGGTGCTAATTAACCACCTCAGCAATAGACTGCCACATGACATGATGAGGCTCTGCTTTATTCAATCATTTAACCTCCCCTACTTTCTCCTCTTCTTCTACAATTCCAAATCCAATCATCAATGCCAATTCCTATACACAAAGTCTAGAATTGACTACCCTCAAATGTTTGCCCGAACTGCCAGTTGGCCGGTACCACGTTGTTGCTGGTCATTGTCTGGCCGTCGCTGGTAGTCACCTGAAAAGACAGGCTCTGGCCATTGAGGTAAGAATTGCTCTGCCAGTTCTGGCCCCAGTTCCTTGACATGGGTTGCCATCCTGTGTTACTTCCCTTGATTGAAACAGCATGGACATCTCCTGCACCGCCGACGTTGGTGATGAGAACTAGGTTGAAGTAGGAGTGTCCGTTGATTGTGAACCTGATTCCTCCTTTCTTCACACAGGATACCCTGTGCGTATTGAAATGTGAAAATGTCAGAGTCTGACCATCGAATCGATTCGAATTCATTCGTGAATTCAAAAAAGGGGGGTTGAGTTGTTTGATTAATTACCTCCTAAAGGAAATGGGGACAATTCCGGCTTTGTATTCAGCAATTTGCAAGAAGGCAGGCTCGGCCATGTCAAAGTGTTGGAGAGGAGGATTGCACCAACCACCGTTATCGTTTGCGAGTGAAGGGTTAGGTGGGCAGAAGTTGGTAGCTGTGACGGTTATGGAACCAGGGCGGCACCATTGGGCATCGTTGGTGCACTTCATTTCATAGCAAGATCCGCAGCTCAAGCCGTTGTTGAACAGAGCAGTGCTGAGAGCTGCAGTGTTAGTCCCATACCCTTGGCTATACAGGTTGCCATATCCACAAGCCCCTCCTGCAATTAATGACGAATATTGCCGACACATCACCAACAAATGTATATATGAGATTCAGAACCAGAATGAAAAAGGTAAATTAATTAATTAAGACTACTTTTCCAATTCCAAACACGCATAATCAATTTGTTCCTTAATAAACACCACCAATGATTAATTAATTAAAATCACTTTGCGCCCTACGTCTTTTACTCCCGGCCCCCCATCTGTTGGGTATATATATACTAAATGAAATTATTAAAGTTTAGCATCATAATGCATGGTAATTAATTAGAAGAGAAAGTAGTTGCCTAAACTCAGTACTTACCCATTGTGCCAGAAGCATCACCCCCACCGTAGAAGGTGGCGTGGCCACTTTCCCATCCAGAATCGGCATAAATGCCCTGCAGCTGCACCCATAAATTGAGAACAAAAGCTAGAAGAGACAAGGAAAGTAATGATGGGGCAATGGCCATGGTGAATAATTGAATGTATGAGATCAATGAGGGAGAGAAAGAGAGACAAAGGGTTTGAGCACTAACTAGAAGTGGTTATTGTAGCAAGCTAATTAAGGGATGAGGGGGTGGTATTGCTGCTGCTGGGTGCATTAGATGGGAAGGAAAGTGTGGTTATATAGAGAGAAGAATGACAAGCTTAGGTAAGCGTTTGTGGCGGTTTGATGTGACCTGTTTACAAATTTGCAAGAGACAATTCAGGCCGAATCACGTTGCTCCAAAACCTGATTTCATATTTTGAGGCTTGCACATGCAAATGTTCCTCTCCCTCTCTCACTACCAACCGCTAAGAATAACGACCCTAGCCCGGTGGCCCCCACTCCACCCTCCATTATTCTACTCCCAACTCAATTTTTTTTCTTCATATTGAATATTTGCCCGATTTTGTAGGTCATAATTTGTTTAATTTCCCACAATTTTCGCCACTTAATCATCAATTTTAGTCCAATTTAGTTGGCTAAAATCAACCAAAGAGGTGCGAATTAAATTAAAAATTGTTAGCTTACATGGGTCAAAGTTTTTTCTTTTTGAATTTTTTATAATTAATAATCTTAATGTGCATTGCACAAACATACTATATGGCAATGTACCATTTTCTCATGTCTAACCAAAACTCATCGGTATATATGTCTGGCCTAGTACATATATTTATTATGGACAGTGATTGGTACACTTTATATTTTAACATTTTTTGATTTAATTATTAAAAAATTATTATTTTTTAATCTGAAATTAAAAATAGATAAATATAATGATACAATCATGTACACAGGATATAAGAACTGACTGAATTGATTGTATTTATATTATATTTTTAATAATTAAATCAAAAGATATTAAATCAAATGTTGAATCGAATGTTGAACTAAATGATGTATCAAACATTTTCCATTTGTTATATACAAAGCTAGAGACAATTAGCATCCATGGGTAAGTGGATGATCAATATATATACAGGACGATGATTTCCCAGAATCAAAAAGATGAGAAGAAGGTCTTATAGAATAACTATTTTCATGATGAGATGATGATTGGAATTATTTGCACACCGCTTAAGTGTTGGAGATTAGTAATTTTTTAATAATATTTTGAATTATAGAATAGCATATTCTATATAATAATGTTAATAGAGGATAAAAGAAATCAAATCAAATTTTTACATGTATAAGTAGTAGACTTTGTGGATTATGTTAAGGGGGGCCTACCATGTTAGGAGCACATGGGAAGCTCCGGCAATAGCGGTCCCTTGTATTCTAGTTCAAGCATCCTTTTCTTAATTTCAGTTTTGAAGAGTCTTTCATCGGTCCTAACCCCATAAACAAACATTATATTAATAAAATGAAACAAAAAAACAACATATGCCGCCGACTCTGCATTGAAAAGTCACATTAGTTAAAACAGTTAGGTTAATCTGCTCATCTCCTTTAATTTTTTGGTTTCTTACGTAATTTGAATTGAAAAATCCCTTGTTTTATTATTAATATTTTTTTATGAACCATTGGTATTCAAAAGCTCATTGGACCATCGATTAATCCGAATTCGAACCGAATAAGACTTAACGAGCAATAAAACTTAACGAGCAATAAAACTTTTCACACGAGTTTTAATAGAATTACATTTCAAATGCTTGAAACCAAGATCTCTTATTAAATTGAAAGAGTTCTCTGCTAACTCATATACCCACTCATTAATAAAATCCCTTCTTTTATACTAATATGGTACTAGTATTTTTCTTAATCTCTTTTTAATTTCACCCCATGTATCTTAACATTTGTCCGTTATGTAGTGGGAATCTATTACAACATTTCAATAAGCATCTATTCAAGGGAGGATAAACCATTTTCCCCATCCCAATGTGAATCAGGAGATGTTAATTAAATACAACTACCGTCCATCACCACTAGAGGCTAGTGGGGACACCGGCTTGGGCATGACCCAATCCTGGCCCTTCCTTCCTCCTCTGACTCTATATGTCCGGTAAGTGCCCAAACTGAAAAAGGCAAAATGAAAATTTTAATGCTGACCCGCCTTTATCTTTAACAGATAGATAATTAATTTTGTAAATTCGGCCCAGAAGCCCCTATAGCTCAGTGGTAGAGCGTCAGTCTTGTAAACTGAAGGTCTGTAGTTCGATCCTGCATGGGGGCAAGTTTGTTTTCTTTTTTTTCCCTCTAAAACTGCTACTCCTAAATCGGCAGTTACTTCTAATCATTTTTTCATAGGATAGACGTGCTTTCCTGCAATCTTCTACAGGTGACAGATATGAGTTATGGAGCAATTAACATTCTTCATTTATTACATGTTCTGGTGTAGCTTTAGCAACATCAACCATTTGATCCAGTGTCTGTCTGGTGCAGAGATTTCCCTTTTCCAATTACATAAAAATAACATGTATTTATGTATGGTATCAGTTCTCTTGCATTTATGCCTTCTGTTTTTGTACCAAGCAGGAGCAGGACTGGTGTGACCATAACAGTTACTAGGCATTTTTCCCATGGGAACAGAAGTGTAGAAAGATAATGAGGACCACAAAAGAGGCATGTGCATTTTATCCAACTACTGTTTGTTGGGAGCCAATGAGAGCGGCCTTCATGAGGGGATTGTCCCCCAGCCCCACTTGAATCGGGCATCAGACATGGAAATGGGGGTCAATTGCATTTACTAACATGGACCAGGACTAGGACCATGCTCATACATACCACTCACAAACAGATCCTCTTGAGCTTTCCAACATGGTATATTCAAGTCTTTGCCATGTGCATTCAAATCGAACTTCAGCTTGTAGGCCACCAATGATCCTCACAATGTGAACAATATCAAATGGTTTTAAGTTTGGTGTCTCCTGTTGTGATTTGGGAACCTGTTGAAACAAATCATTTTCCAATTCCAAATAATTTTCACATTAATTGTTTGGTCGAATGGATGGAAAGGAAAAAAAAAGATCACATTGCATATAGGTTTCCACTCAGGGTTACTGCAAAGTCCCCCCCTAACATTTTGCATACAAACGTACAAACCAGCTAAAGATAGTCTCAAAGGCCCCCAGCTATCAATTAAGACGCAGCATAACAAGCTATTAATTAGTACTGGCGCCATGCAGGCCCTGTTTCTTTGTTTTTGTGTGCGCCTGTTTGAGGGGGTTTTAGGGGAGTGAATTAGCAAGGCGAGACAGAGACATGTTAAAAAACATTATTACCACAAGAAGTATTTTTCCCCAACGATACAAGCTGAAAACCAACAGACAATACAACAGGAGGGCTTAAAGTGAAAAAAGAATTGCACTAATCTACACCTCAGAAACAAACTTCTATTCCCACATGACTGCTCCTAATAAATGAATTTTGAATCTAGATGAGGAAAAAAAATCAAATGAATAGCACCTCTTGAAGTCAATTAGGTTAGTCTATGAACATATCCAACAAATAGGATAGGACGATGAGCAGATAAGCAAATAATTTATCAAAATGTTGCACTGCTTTCACCGGCAGAAATCGAGGGGCATTCAGATTTGACAATATGGGAGCCTCTGCTACTGATGTCAAGCCCCTGCAATCGGCCAAGAGGATCTTGCTGCATCAACTCTGAGAAAGCATGTGACTGAGGTGTGGCAACCAGAGGTTGATGATTGGGTGCTAACATGTTAGGTTGAAGTGGATGAAACTGTGACATTTGCATGTTCTGAGCATTAGCTTGTACATGCTGGAGCCGGGGAGGAAGGGAGGAGGGCTGGCCATAGGGGATATGATACATTCCCAGATTATAGCTATCTGTTGGTGTCATAATTTCGCCAGTTGCCATCTTGAGCCTCTCAACTTCCTTCTTTAGTGCTTCATTTAGAGCTGTACATCAGAAATGGTTGTGCAAGAATTAACTTCTCATGGTACATGTGATTGCATAAATCCATGGAAAATGTAATAGAATGGCTAGATACCTACATGCAGGTGGATAATCATGAATCATGTGAAAAAAAAGGGGGTTCAAATCGGTTCATTTTACTGTCATATCATTGATTACAGAAAATAGGACCTTGCTCCCTTGTATGGCAAGTGAACAAAATTGCTTGACATGCCATGTAAACACTTTGAAGAATGATGGTATTTTAAGAGAAGTTTGATTAATCAAGTAGCCCTGATAAGACATACCATCACGTAGCTGAGCTTGTTGTTCCATAGCCTGTAGCCGAAGCTTAAGCTCTGTGTTCTCAGATGACAAGTCCGTTGTATCTCTCTAAAAAAAACACAGAACAGTAAGACCTTAAACACTTGGTTATGTAGTAGTAAGATACAACACATATAAGACCAATCAAACAAATCCAAAATAAATGGCAACTCTAGAAAACTATACGCTCTTAACTGAAGCACATAGAACTGAATAAAATCAATAAAACAGTCCATAAAGTTTGTAATTTACTAGAGTAATAGCCAAACAGTGTTTGCTCAATACAAAGATGCTCTAAGTGCCATAAGGAGTATTTGAGTCACTATAAAAGGGCTCCAAATTTATGCAAAGAGGATAAAAACACTTATCCAGAATGTAGAACTAACTGAGAAGTCAGACCAATAGAAACCTGGAATAGTGTTAGCTGTGCTGAAAGAGTAGTTGCTTCAGTTTGAAGTGTTTGGACTTTTCTCTCAAGTTCAGATATATAACGGGCTTTTCTCTCTTTTGAGCGAGCAGCAGACTGACGATTTGCAATAATCCTGCATAGGTTGCACACATCATTAGAGGGAACTCACAGAACATGAATCCAATTGCAACAGAGACAGAATATGAAGAAATAGAATAGATAAGTGGACAGGGAGGTTGAGCATAAAATGCTGTAAGATGGCAAATTTGATAGTTGTATTAAGCTAGTACATGACCCATGTTCCTAGGCAACCAAGAACATAGCTTTGTAAAACACAACAGTTAGAAATGTGAGATACAAATAAAGACATCTCTACAATGTAGACAAGAACTGAAGTAGTTTTTTTTTTTTGTCTAAACAAGAAACGATTTAGTCAAAAATTAAAAAAAATAAAATAAAACCTATAAGATATTTATGGGCTCTCATTAGCTAAAGCTGGATATTGTTGTTATTTTTGAAGCAAAAGCTCACTCAGGCTGCTTCATTTATATCTAATTATCCATAACTAACCAATTATGCAGTTGATGCTTATATACAATGAATTGCAAGACATGGACACTAAAGCTACATAAGAGCCAGGGAAGGGGAGAAATCTTCCTTTGACTTGGAAATAGGATTACATTAATTACAATGTCTTGTATTAAGAATTATATCAAATTGATTCAATTTGAACTACTATTATAGTATTATGATCTGGAACCTGAATTCAAAAGGTAATACGAAGAGCTTTCCCTAACCGCCCTAATCAAATACCAAAAAACCAGGCTCACAGATTCAAAGTCATCTTTATCTCCATCTTCATCTTCAGTATTAAATAAATGTAATGCTGATTAAAAATTTAATACGACTAACCCAAAAAAAAAAAAAAACAGATCTTGCATCAAAATATCAACAAAATAAAATTTAATCGGACAAAAATGCACCCCTTATAAACATACCAAAAATTAAACTAAACAGAGGCAATGCTGATTAAAAAATTTAATAATGAAAGTGAGAAAAAAAAAAAAAAGAAGGAAGAAGCAAACCTCTTAGCTCTTTTTGGATCAAGAGTCCATAGCTCAGCCAGCTTATCAGGGGCCATAGCTTTCTTTGCCTCAATGGCTTCCATAATTGAAGAACCATCAATGGAATTGCTGTACCTATGCCTAGGCTTGCCCGCATTCTTCTCCGCAGCCGGGTCCTCGAGTTTGGAGTTGGAAGGTCCATCCTGGGGCTTGGATCCCAATTTCTCAACATCCATGTAGGTACAGAAGATGTCATCCTCGGATCCGAGGCCCTCGAAGGTGTCAGAGACGAGATCTAGGTCGTCAGGAATCCGAAACTGAACCTCGGAATGCGCTCGCCTGTGGTGAGGTCCCCTAAATGTGGTGGCCGTGGAGGGAGCTTGTTGGTGGAAATAAGCGTTGGGTTTAGGGGGCGGATCTTGCATTTCCATTATTGGATCCAATACAGAAAGAGAGAGAGAGAGATTGTCTGAAAATCGCTTTCCGTCAAGGCGTCAATCTGTCACGTTAGAGTTGAGTTGATGAGGCCTTTCTTCCAAATCAGACATATCTCTCCCCGGTCTGAGGAGAATGGAAGAAAGAATGCGCTTAAACTGTTAACACATTATTTTATTTATTTATTTAATAATACGCATTATTACACTATTCTCTTATTTTAATTGCAATAAATTAAAATTTTTAAATAAATATCCAATCCCAGGCCCAGCCTACCTTGAATAGAATACTATAAATTAGAGGCCCATATGCTTGAAAAGTCCAGTATGGAAGGATGCTGATTGTTTTTTGGGAGACCATCTACAAGTGAATATATATAATCAACTTGGGGGCTGAATATTATTGTATCTTCACTTGCATATCCTTCGAATGAGGAGATTGTAATAACTTAGGTAACACAGTTAAAAGTTTACGTAGTATGAATTTTTTATTTTATTAGTATTATGTCTTCCTTTTCTTTAGGGTAGCTATGGAGCAATAAAGATATTTTTGTATATTGTTGGGGTTGAGTCACAGCCTATCATTCAGTTTGAGTTGGTAATATTCAATAATACCATAGAAGTTTTTTCTGTAGCCAAAAATTTCCTTTTTCTTTTATTTTTTGGAATGATTTTTTTAAAAATGTTTCTTGAGCTTCTCTCTCTCTCTCTCTCTCTCTCTCTCTCTCTCTCTCTCTCTCTATATATATATATATATATATAAATATATAGGTTAAGGCTATGCTGACTGCACTGTGCAATTCATGTGGCTTGAATTAGCCTGCAGCATTTGGGGATTATAGGCAAAAGAGTGGAGACTTGTATTTGTATGCTTTGGATGTTATGGGTTTGCCTAGATTTGTTACTAATTAAGTTAATAGCCTAGGGCTGAAAGTTTGTATAGATGTTATATGTTTGGTATCCAGAACATGCATGCTTGTGCTATATAATTATAACCTGCACTTGATCAGCTTGTGAAGGGCTGTGCATCCCTCTGCATTAATATACCCAAAAAAAGAAAAAAGAAAAAAGAAAAGAGTATGGTAGAAAATATAAAAATAATAAATGTTTGGTTGATTAATTTTAAACGTTTTAATTTCAATTTTTAATCTTTAATTAATTAATATCTTCAATTATAAAAAAAATAAAAAAATAAATTAATATTTTAAAATTTTTAAACATTTTTTGTAATTTATCGAACAATAGAAAATAGTTTCATTAAAAAATGTTCTAAAGTATTCCAAATATCAAAAAATAATCTTTAAATAAATATTGCTATGATAAATATTTTTTAAAATAAAATTATTTTCCATGAACTAAACAAATCTTTTAAAAAATGAGTAAATTTTTTTTAAAAAAAATTTGCATTCAAGTCCTTAAATCAGTTTTTGAATACCTCTACACTAATTTATCTTAAAATGATATAAAAGGCGCAACCAAACTTGATTACAAATGCTTACATAGTTACAATAGAAAGTAGATGATTTCATAGAAATTGAAGTGGTCAGAAAATGGGGGAAAAGTGGGCATATAAAGAAAAAGAAAGTTATGGCTTAACTAACGGTTCCCCTTGATGACTTGACCTCAAAAAGAAAAAGATGTTAATTCTGAGTCTAGCAGAGTCGGTGAAGGCCATGTAAGATGGTTTGGATGGAACTTGAACGGAGCTTAGCTTAGCTCCTCGAATACAATCAGAGTTTGGTGAATTTGAGGTGGTCCAGGGGTCCACCAGAGAGACTAAACAATTTATGGAGGAAATGCCTTATGCCACATGCTTTCCATGTGCCTTCACAAGATTCTACTGGACTGGGACTTGACTTTACTTCGGGTCGGAGGTGGAGAAGAGGACCCATTTCCCTTTCAAGAATTTGAAAACAAAGGATAAGCATGTCTCTGTTTTCTGATTAAGGGTAATAATAACACGTGAAAATTAACATTACCTACTTCGTAAGTATTGGGGGATCCATAGATTTGGAAATTGGCTGAAATGAATAATGGAATTGGTTCAAATCTTAATTATAAATAAAGAGGAGTGCAGGGATTTGGTGCTAAAGAATAAGCATTTCTTTGCTTTTATTTATAGTCAAACTAATTGCAATTAGGTGGTGCAGTGGGATCAGGTGCTTTAATCAAAATTCCTAAGCCACCTTTGTCTTCTGCTTTTATTCTCGAACGCTTCTTATAACCCTTCTTACTCCTTTCAACACTAATCAATTGAAAAGACATCAAAACCATATCTTTCCCCCACACCGTCTCTTGCCACATGAATAATCAATCTCATACACACACTCTCTCTCTTCGTTTCTCTCTCTCTCTTCTGTTGCCTATTACTAAAAACACAGAATTACAACCACTGTCTATGGAAAGCACCCTCTTGAGTTCTGTCTTGTGAGGATCAAGGAGCATCTGTGAGCTTGAAAACCCGTTTAATTTTGCTGTGATATTTGATCAAGTTTCAACCTTTCAACCATAAACTAAACCCTATCCTTCCCAATTCCTTCCTTATCCTAGTTACCTAAAAAGGTGTCTTTTTAAATTAAGTGTTTTTTTAAATCTATTTGGAATTGGAATCCTGACAGACCTAGAATGCCC